ATGTTCCCGCCGGCGCTATCTCCTCCGATGAAAACCTTGCTGAAATCTGCATGTTGGTTCAACCACTGGTCGGGTCCGTTCCCGTTGACATGACCTGCCACCCACTGGAGAGCGGCCCAAGAGTCCTCGTAGCAAGCGGGTATGGGTCTGGAAGGGAAGAGTCCGTACTCGACTGAAACGACGACGACGCCGGCTTTGGCAGCGACCGTGCTGCAAAATTCATGGTATTGCGGGCTGAAAGCAGACATCATTGAAAACCCACCACCGTGGATGTAGAAGAGGAGAGGGAATTTTTGGGTGGGGTTTGTGACTCTGGGTAGGAAAATGCGGGCGGAGACAGGTGGTTCAGACGAGATGATTACATCTTTGGATCGGACCCCAGTAACGGGGTCATCGGACACTGGAATTTTCTCACAGGTGGGGCGAAATAACTCGACGCGGCCACCTTTGTAAACTCGGAAGAATCTGAATTCCTTCTCGACTTCGGGATTGTTGGACGCCATGAGTGGAGGAGGTTGGGAGCAAGCAATGCAAGAACGGGGATTATATTGCGATCTGCCCGACTTCTCGTGGATTAGCTGTAACAGAAATATTAACTAACATTCTAAAGTTTTACCAAAGAGTCAAAGAGCGAATATTCATAAAAAAATTGAATAGAAAGGTACTCTTTGAGCATCTGCAGCGGTTTCAATTAAAATTGGCATAGGTCTCTCTCCCCTTTTTTTTTTTAGTCAACAATAAGTTTCTGTGTGTGATGCATCAATCTGAATTTGAGCATGAATGCATATTTTAGATTCATTTTGTTGTAACTTATAAGTAAATATGACATAAATTGAACCTGTGACTTATGTGGTTACTAGCAAAGTGTTTCAGTCACCCATGGGACTCGAATCCCCTTAACTCCCCTTTTCCCTCCCCCTATCCCCCAATTCCCGTTGTACGAATAAAAAGTAAATATGACATAAATTGTACTTTATAAGTGCTTATAATTTTTTTTTTTTTCGACCAGGTAGATGATTAAGAAGTTAATAGAGTTAGTTTTGTTAGCAGTTGGAATTTTTTCAGGAAAGTGAACGTTCCATCCCCTCAAGTTGGTGGAGTTCACGGCAGTGGTAGAGTTTGAAGTCTTGACCTCCACCTCACCCAAACCCTAAAGCTTGGGGGCCAACCAATTGAGCCACAGATCCGGTTGGCAAGTGCTTATAATATTTAGTATGTTTAAGTTTTAAATTATAATATTATTATATTATAATTTTTCATCCATTATCTTAGTTAGTTCGTGCGCGTAAAGAAAAAGAGTAAAGAATCTAAAGATAACATAGACCAGTGAATTAGTGAGTCTTTAGCATTTTTGATTCAGGGTGAGTTTAGGATTGTTACCAACTGCATATAATATCTAGTAATGATTAAGATTTAAATTATAATGTTATTATATTATAATAATTTTTCATCTCTTATCCTAGTTCGTACATGTAAAAAAAATGTAAATATAACATAGACTAGTGACTTAGTGATACTTTAGCTTTTTTGATTTAGAGTGAGTTTGGGATTGTTTTATAAAGTTGGGTGATTGTAACTGTGATTGTGATTGTATTGAATTATATTATATTATAATTTTAGATAAAAGTTACTTTGATATTTAATTATTTATTTTTTTAAAAATATTATAAATGAAATATAATAAAATTTATTAATTATTAATTAAAATTTTAAAAATATTGTAAGATTTTTAATTATTAAAATAGATAATATTTATCATTTTTTAATAATTTAAATCTTTTAGATCTGTTATTATTATTAAAATATTATAACTTATGACATAATTAAATTATACGAAATTAGATTTTAATAAGTAATTTTATAATTATAATAAATTTTAAATGTTTTTTGTAAAAACCACAATTAGAAAACTTTAAAATGGGGCTTTTGGCTTTATATATAAAATAACTGTAAATGTGTTGTGATTTTCTATAGTTTTTTTTAAAAAATAATTTGAAAAAAATTATCAAATACATATATATTTAAAAGTATCATACGATTACATGAAAAAAATTCCCAATCACAATTCCAAACGCATTCTTAGGTAAAATGTTAAGATCACACTTTAAAATGTCACGGTTACACAAATTTTTAAATATTATATTTTAAAATATTAATTTAATTTAATTGTTAAAAATAATTAATAATTATAATTATTATTAGTTGATAAATAATAAAATAATTATATTTATTATTTAATATATTAAAATCAATATAAATTCTGACATTTTCAAATGTCATTGCTAACTATTTATAGGGAAAAAAAATTAAAATTTGTGTAGCTCTAACAATCTCATGTGTTACTATAACCACACAGTTGAATTGTGCTTTTGGATGTATCTAGGATTGTTACGACGTGATATGGTTGTAGATCTTTTAATATTTTAGTATAAGAAAAATTATATTATTATTTAAAAATTATTTTAAAAAGAGTTATACATTAATATGACTATTAAATTATATAAAATATCAATTAAAATTAATTAAATAAAAATAAATTTAGCAATTTTATGAGACATTATATGTGTAAAAGTGAGGTAAAAATGCAATTCCTAACGCTACCTTGATCTTTTTTGTTAAGAATTCGCTATCGGGTTAATAAAAACTCAATCAAATTAGTATTAATTATTGTAAGAAATTATAAGAGATTAATATTTATTAATTAAATTTACAAAAATTTAAGTAAAAAATGTTTAAAATTATATTATTTTAATAGAGCATTAAGAGATAACATTAAAAGAGTCTTATTCTTATTTATGATATTTTAATCTATTTTAATATAAATTTATTAAAATAAAATAATTTTAAGATATTTTTAAAGCTTTTTAAAAATACAATTGATAAATATTTTTTTCTTTAATGTAAAAACTTTTATTTAAAATAAAAGTTAAGAGTTGAAATCATGTAATAGCAAGCAACTAGCTCGTATTAAAAAGCTAAATGGCAATTCGTTTGATGGGTTGGAAATAGTCCATTAGGTCGCTTCTGAATGCAGGATTGGATAAGATATATGATGGGACGAGATTGGATTGGTTGGCATTAGAATATATGCTAATACAATCATATATTTGGTAATTGCATGCGTGACTGGATAGAAATATTTATCTCTTTGGACAAAATTACTCTTTAATTTTTTTATATTAAAATTACCCTTAAAGTTGGATCTAACAATATTTTTATTTTTATTTTTTTTCTGTTCAAATTTGAAACTTGTTATTTATTGTACCGCTAAAAGCTACTAAATAAATAAAATCAATTTTCAATAATAATTTAATAAATCTAAGATTAGTACATCAATTTTTCTACTACCTAATCAAATATTTCCATTTTCTTCGTTTCTGGGAAACCAAATAAGAATGCTATCGACAACTTCAAATCTTCAATTCAACTTGAAATGGTTTATCCTCTTCAACAAAACCACTTTTCTGGCCTTTGCTGGTTTGTTGGTGTTTTTCAGTTGCGTTCAAAGATACGATGAACAGGTGTTTGAGAGATTGGGTGGATGGGATGAGATTAGTTTATACTCATCGGTATGTGAATGGACAAAATATTAATATCTCTTGTTTGATTTAGTTATCTGATTTTATCTATTTATTATTATCAAAAAATTTATTTATTAAAATAATTATGACTTATTTTTTTATTTTCATCCTTACTTATAACTAAATAAAAAATCTAAATGCATTTTCATCTCTTTTGAAATTAAAGTAAAATTAAAATATTAATATTTAATATAGTATTTAAATAAAAAATATGACAATTAAATTAAATCATCCTTATTTACAAGGTGAGATGACAAAATTTAATAGAAAAGAACAGTAAATAATAGTATTTACCTTGTCCCAAATACCCCCAAACATGAGATTTGGTAGGACAATACAAAAGATTAGTTGTCTCATCCTTTATTTAATATTCTAAGATCTTAATAATTTATCTCTTAGTTTTTAATAATTGAAATTTATT